AAAAAAGTAAAGGTCTTAACTTTATGGCAGAGGCTTTGAGTTCCTGAGAGATAACACGTTGGGCCAAACTATCTAAAGACTAGGAATTCACACACCACTACTCCCCTTTGCATTTCTCTGTATATTTAATTACATTTACATTTAGTTTCACTTTAAGAATAAAAATGTAGGGCCGGCCCAGTGGCGCACTGCTACAGTGCGCCGCTTGGGAGTGCGGCGGCGCTCCCGCCGAGGGTTCGGATCCCACATACAGACCGGTTCCCGCTCACTGGCTGAGCGAGGTGTGGGCGCAACACCGAGGGTTGCGATCCCGTTGCCGGTCCAGTCCGGTACGGGCGCGACACTGAGGGTTGCGATCCGTTGCCGGACACGAAAAAAAGACAAAAGGAAAAAAAAAAAAAAAGAATAAAACTGTACTGGAATATCTGTAAATTGAAAACAAAACAGCAAAGTAAACCCATTGTTGTCTATGAAATGTCTTTATCTTATCAATCTACCTGCATAAAGAAGTTTTTGCTTTTGACTGCCCAGAGTAACTCATAAGAAATGAGTCTCTGATCCTAGCAAAGGGAGCTTTACTCAGCAAGCCTTCAGCAATACAAACTAGCTTATGCTCTTCAAAACTTTGCAGATTTTTCTTACTCAATCTCATGCTGCAGAAATGCACTAGTTGGAATAAGAATTACAGAACCACACAGTACAGCACTATTGGGAAAACAGATTAAATCGTAAAATATATCAAATCTTTATCCTGGCAATGAGTCTAATCATTGTCTTAATTTATCACTGTTGTAAATTTAAAAAGCTGTAGCAAAGCAAAAGCAAAACTGGAGTATCTGGGCTAATGGTCAGTGAGGAAAAGATACAAAAGGGGATTTAAATATTTTTTTTTTGTTTTTGGTTTTTTTTGCCTTTGGCAGCTGGCCAGTACGGAGTAAATATTTTATTTTTAAAAAATTGATGTTTCCAGTTTTCTGTTACAAACAATGCTGTAATGAACATTATTTGAACATCTTACAAGCACACCTAGCAAACTTGACGGAAATTTTCCTTACCATAAATTCCTGGAAGTGGAATTTTTGGATCAAAGAGTATGCACATTTTACAATTTGATAGAGCAGTTATCTTATATTCATATGATGGAATGAGGCCTGTTATATTCATATGATGGAATGAGGCCATTTGATAGAGCAGTTATCTTATATTCATATGATGGAATGAGGCCTGTTAAAAAAAAGTTATAATCTTTAAGTATTGACATCTTAAAATGTCCACAGTACATTAAATCAAAAGGAGTTACTTTCCAGTATAAAATCCCATTAACATTTATATAGAGATGGGAGTATTTCAGAGAGGAAAATCTGGAAGAATATATGTCAAATAGTGGTTAATTGATTCATCAAATTTGAAGATTTTTTAAAATTTCATAATTCATGAATAAATTCATCTTGTAAAACACAGATACAACATATGTACTCAAATGTTCATAGCAACTTTATTCATAATAGTTCAAAACTTTAAGCAACTCAAAATCCATCAACTGATGAATGAATAAACAAATTGTTTTTGTTTTTTTAAAGATGACCGGTAAGGGGATCGTAACCCTTGACTTGGTGTTGTCAGCACCACACTCTCCCAAGTGAGCTAACTGGCCATCCCTATATAGGATCCGAGCCTGTGGCCTTGGTGTTATCAGCAACACTCTCTCCCAAGTGAGCCACGGGCTGGCCCGGAATAAACAAATTGTTATATGAGGACAACGGAATAGTACTCCGCAATAAAAAACAGGCTACTGATACACGCAATAACAATGGATGAATCTCAAAATCATTTATGGTAGGAGAAAGAAACCAACATACAAGACTACATAAGGTATGATTCCATGTATATGAAATTCTGGAAAGGACAAAACAATAGTGAGAGTAGATCAGTGGTCAGCCAGGGGCTGGAGGTGAGGGCAGAGCAGATGAGTACAATGGAACATGAAGGAACTTTTTGGAATAACAGAAATGTCTGTTATCATGATTATGACGGGGGCTACACTACTGTATACGTTTGCTAAAATTCATCAAATTGTACACTTAAAACTGGTGAATGCTATTGCAGTAAATTATATCTCCATAAAGCGGACTTTTAAAAGTACAGATAAGCTCTGCTTTGATTACCACTCCAAAACTAGGTTCCCTCACTTCCTGGGAAGGCCCCCTCCTCCCTCCACAGATTAATCAAATAACCTCTAACTACTACCACTGCAAATAGATTCTACTTCAAGTTCTTGTTCTGCATTTACACACATGCGCGCACACTCACACATACGGAAAATCTATACTTTTGTATTATCCTAGAGTATTTACTCATTATTTGCCTTTTCCCACAAACTGTACTTTAGAGATGTTTTCATTTGAATATAGTTTTACACCATTCTAATTCCTGATGGTATTCTGTAGTATGGATATACCATAGTTTACTCAGCCATACCCCTATCACTAACCACACTTACCGAACACTCTTCGCTGCGTGCCAAGTCCTGGGAATACAATGGAATATAAAAACGTACTTTTCCTGCCTTCCTTGTGCTTTCAGGTAAGTGGGGGAAGTGAGGAGGTTGTTAATAACGACATTAAACGTGAAATCATAACTACGAACGGAGCCTGAGTAACAGGGAGATTTATCTAGCCAGAAGATTAAGAAAAGTATTTTCCAAGGGAAAATACCTTTAAACAGACCTGCAGGGTAAGTAAATATGTTTTAACTGGGATAAGGGGTGTGGGGATGGGACGCTACTATCCTAAAGTGCTGCAAGTGTGGTGGAGGAAGTATGCGGGAAGTGGCAAAAATGAAAGGGAACTTGCTTTTGCTTTTTTAAACGCTTTTGGTAAGGGGATCGCAACCCTCCGCACGGTGTGGTCTGCACCACGCTCAGCTAGTGAGCGTACGGGCCATCCCTATATATAGGATCCGAACCCGCGGCCGTGGCGCTACGAGCACCGCACTCTCCCAAGTGAGCCACGGGGACGACCCAATATACGCTTTTTTTTTTTTCAACGCGATGTATATCTTATTTCGTAATCAGTAAAAAAAAAATAAGGTCATAAGTATTTTAACGTGAGCAGGCTTTCTACTTCCTCAACATGAAGGAACAAGTCTTTCATGCTTCTTCCAGGAGAAAGCAGGTACAAGAAAAGCAAGACGTCCTCGCTGACTTCTGTTAAAAAAAAAAAAAAAAAAAAACAGCCAATGAAAATGTCTTGGG